TGCAGTGTCATTATGAAGAGACACTATGCTTGATAAGGGGTCTACCCATCAACACAAAACTCCCATCTACAGAAACAACTTGAGTGGACCCTGCAGGAGACCAGTCAGCATGAATTCCCTCTCTGGAAAAGTCTGTAATAAATAGTAAGATCACTGCATCTTATCAAAAGGTAAGATCACTGATCACACACATGTAAACACTGCTGGAAATCAATTATCCTGTTTTACTAATCTGATGAAGATCTACGAGTGTGTCAGTAAGAACACAGATAAAGAGGATCCAGTAGATGTAATGCATTTGCATTTTCAAAACGCTTCACCAAAAGGTTTTCTTAAAACTGAATTGCCACAAGGTATCCCAGGTAGAATCCTTCGACAGATAAAAACCTCTGCTGATTGACTTTTTTGACCAATAGGCTTTCATTCTGGCATGAATCAAGATGGTTGCAATTTGTGTACAGAGGGTGGGAGAATGGCGAGTACTTGCAGAACAACTGGGGTTAACAGGGACTGAGGCAAGGCAGCACTGAATGTTTATAAAATAGAGGGTGTTAATCAGTGGAACAGAAATTTAGGAACGCTCTTACTTAATAATAAGAGGTAAGTAGTTTGGCACTCCCTGCTCTACAACATCTTCCTAGATGACAGGAGAGAAGGAAGGGAATTGCTCCAGGCCAAATAAAGTGCTAAATCCTGCTCTCCTGCCTCTTGTATGAACATGCCAACATGTCATTAAAATCCACAGCTATGCAGTTTCTTCTCCACTCATGTTTTTTAATAAACATCCCTGCATTTCATGGAGAAGCTGATACTGTCAGTATTCTTTAGGCAGCTTCTTTGGTGAAAGCCTGAAGCCAGCAAAATCTATATTAAATATGTTTATTCTCCATCATAAATATACAAAATTCATGCAACTATGTTCAAGTGATATTTTGGCATTTTTGTGTCTTTAGAGTTGATATGCTTTGAAAACATTTATTAGACCTCTATTGTTTAACAATCATTAGACTTACCACAAAAAACTGCAGAGCAGCACATATTCTCCAAATAGGTCACCTCAGCTAGTTCCCTCTAGCCTCATCTAGTAATCAAATGGAGATATTTTACCTCAGCCAGGCAGTTAAGTCAACAATTCTAGAAAATCTTATAACCAGTGAGCAGCCAAAATCACGTACTAATTCTTTTTCATAACAAAAACACAAAATAGTATTTCCAATTTGAGCAAAAAGTAGAACTTCAGCTATTTCATTTCAGAAGCCTAGTTGTTAAACTAACAGTGATATTTGCATACTTCCTATACTTTGCACTACAAGTTCCTACTAGCCTGTCAAAAGTTAACTTTTGTTATGTTGGTACCAAACTTCAGCTTTGTATTTTATAGAATCTAGCATCCAAGCTGAAATTAAAATAAGGACTCTATTATCCCTGGTCCATCTACACACAACAAGAAGATATTTAAATGCAAGTATAGAACTTTTTCTTTGAGACATGCATACCCTAAAGAACCAAGTGAGGTTATCAATCATTTGAAATAGGCACACCAGAAGTAAAATAATCATAATCAGTCAAGTGACAGACTCAGTACAGCTAATTATTTTCATGTTATAAACATGGTTTGAAAAGCTTGAAAGAAATTCGCATGTGAATACCAAGATAACCTATCTGGCAGAGTGTGATGGATTTATGTAGATTTAAATTCTGGACTTCTGAGATTTTAATTCTGGGAACAACAAAGTCTCTTCCACCAAGACAGCACTACAGCCACTGGTCCTTATTCAAAGTAAGCACTGTATTCTTTCTCTAAATTTGTGAATGGAAAGCTCTCTTGCTCTGTCAAGGAGACTACCAAGATGCAGTAGCATCATTCATAGTTGATTCTCTAATATTGTAGGATCATCTTTTATTTGCAGACTAGGAATACAGCTTTTTTTTTAAGAGTACATAATTTCATCAATTTCCTTAGATATAGGACAGACTCTTTAATAATTGCTATGCATAAATCAAGCCCATGTATCTTTCTAGAAAACAGTTTTAATCTCTTATGAATGTGATGCAGGCATTACTGAAAATATTCTATGGCCTGTATCATGTTCACCGTTAGATACATTAATAAACAATTCGAAGTGATAAAAAACTTTTGTGATCACTTAAAAACCCCTTTCAATTCACTATCACATATTTACTTCAAACACTACCCACATATTTCAACTAGAACCACATCTTATTGTGTAAGAAAAAAACACTCTTCTGAAACAACATATTTTTCAGAAGTTACACTCACTTAAGTATGTATTTTATGTATTAAGAGAAAACTTTTTTAATAGGTGGGTCCAGGTGCAAGTGACTTAATGTTGCAGGAGATCTACTACTGCAGACTGGCTAACCGGCCAAGTAGATAAAAAATTCTTCACTGTATCTTTACAGAAAGCCTTACAATGGTATTAAATAGGACTTCCGAGAAAAGAATATATGATTCACTGAATAATATAAAACATTTGACATCAGTCTTAAAACATGCATGATCACAGAATAAACACCATTTTTAAAGCAAACAGTGCTTTAAGTGTAATCTTCCTTTACGTATAAAATCTGTATAAACAGATGCTAGACCTCACAGACTGCCTTTGTTATAAAAAGAAACGAAGTTTTGATGCAATCCTATTTATAACCAAGTCCCTTTTCCTGAATACAGAGAAACCAAATAGCAGGAGACCTCCTCTTGCCTCAAAATTCCACGCTTGTTGTCGTCAACTATGAGACTCCAAACCCCAGCTCTTAAGACTTTTCTGAGGATTGTATGTCCCCACCCCCAGGTGCCACTGAGGTCTCTTGGCTGCCCTTCCTCTCAGCATTGGTAAATCTTTCTCTATTTTTTTCAAATAACACAAACCTTTATAAAACAGATGAAATTGCTCCCTGGTTTTCTATTTTTTAACAGTGACTTGTTTAGGCTAGGATTAGCCGCGTTTATCAAGTATGTGTTTCCATGAATAAACAATATGATTGATGAATGAGAAGTTGTGTACATCTTACATAGTTATCAAAACACAAAAAATTAAAAAGGACTTGCAGCTAATACTGAAATAACTACAACTTTGAGACGGGTAAAATAATCCACCTGTGCATCTTATAATGTACATTAACTTTCCAATGCATTATTTGTTAAAGTTTACACAACTGAAATCAACATCATGAACAACACCTGAAATATGTTTTTCCTCCTTTTTGGCTTCCTTCTCTCCACTGTGCAGTCACATCAGCTGGCTCAAGGTGCCCTCCAAAAATATGCTGCCAAAGGTAAAGACCTACACAAAAGAAGACATGATGGAGAATATGAATGCACAGATCTTGCATACTCTAAACTCCTAGCAAATAAAATAACTTCTAGGAAACGAAAAAGCATCACCATGTAAGAACTTGGGAAAGAAATGTCAGAGCTTCTTATATAATGGGAACACTGCTTCTCAAATTGTGTATGACTTTGAATTAGTTCAGATTAATTTTTCCCGTATTGGGGCACTTTAAGATATTCTCTGGCTGACAAAATATCAGTAGATGAAGATATACCACTACTGCTATTAGCATCTCTTTCCAGCACACATACCACTTAAAAATGAGCAAATTTTAATCAGCGTTTTAAGGACAAGCATACTTCTCTTAAGCTTTTGTAAAACACACCATTTTTTTGTGATGGAATGTGCCACCACCTAATTTACCAATATGTTCTACAATGCTACATGCAAGTTTACCTAAAGCTGGAAATTTGGCATTTTCAAAAAGCTAAAATAAGAAAAATTTTATGTCATCAGTAGTAGTTAAAGAGCTTGAGAAGACTCTGGCTCCCAGTTTATGTAAACTCAGTGTCTTCTACTACAGAAGAATTTCCAAGCTCATCACTGGCAGTAGTACTGCAGTACAGAAAATGGTTTATTTCTCACTGTGTGATGCTTTATTTCACGAAGTGTAAATGTGACAAAAATATATAGTCTCGTTTAACCAAATAAGAGGCCTGTTCTTGTGTTGTACTGTAAACCAGACTGGATTAAAAAAGTAATTGTGCTTCTCTGCTATTTGAGACATTTTCTTTGCCAGATGCAAAACACAGCCTTGAAAAGAACTGACAGAAAGAAACTGAAGTGTAACTACTCTTATATACATAACTTTTAGTCATTAAAAAGCAGGAGAAAATGCTATATGAGAAAGGTTATGTGATTAATAGACATTGGTTACATCTGCTTACCAATTGCTGCTTTTCCCCAGATCTGTACTCTAAGACTGGTCTGTTCTAGGCGAGATCTCGCATATTTTATCATCTTAAGATTAGCTTCGTATCTCTGCTGAGAAGCAGCCAGTTCGTTTTTCTCGTCCTCTTCCCATGGATTCCATTCGTTTCCCAAGGCAACATGATTTGTGAAACCTAAAAGCGTAATTTACGTAAAACGGTCAGATTCACGGGCTTAGAAAAACTGAAGAATTTTCTGGAATCCATAATTTCAAGCATCACCTGACAACCCTCCCACGGCCCCGGGCCAGGCACATCACCGCTGCCGCCGCTTCCTCCTCCTCTCCCGCCGGGCCGCGACCCGGTGCCTCCCGCGGCACTGGGGAAATGGCCGCGGCCTGCGCAGGCCCAGCGGGGAGCTGTGAGGCTCCGGCCCCGGCCCTGCTCGCCCTCAGGAGCTGCCTCCGGTCCCCGCCCGCCGCCCCGGCCCTCGCATCGGCGCCGCCGGGCGCGGCCGGGCCGGGCCAGCGGCCCGAAGCGGCCCCGCTCACCTCGCTGGCCGCGGCGGTCCCGGTGCGGCGGGCGAGGGGCGGCCGAGCGGCGCGGCCGCAGGAACACGGTGTAGGCCGCGTAGAGAGAGAAGAGCCCGTACGCGAGGATCAGGGCGGAGCAGAGCCGCCGGCGAACGCCCCGCATCCCGCCCGGCGCGGGCGGACGGCCCGGCGGGGGGCGCCGGGAGGTGGTGGCGGGAGGAGCCTCCGCCCGCCGGCCTGGGCTGCGTCCCCTGCCGAGGAGGGTCAGAGCCGCCGAGGCCATGCCCTGCGCAACAACACCGGCGCTGCCGGCACGGCAGTGTGATAAAGTGTAACCAGGTTGTAAATGGATGGGTGAATAGCACGGTCAAGTCATGGGAATACTGTATAATGGAAGAGCTGTGGACCGGTCAAACTGAGTCGTGTTCCATAGTAAGAGAAAGTTGAAGCTCTTTTTAGGCTATCCACGAGAACCTTTTTAAGGGTAGGTGTTACAGCTTCTGCAAAGCCTCTGCCAGCCTATTTGCAAACACCATGATCCTAATGGTAGCCAAAAGTACAGTGACCTTTATCTACTCGAAGGGGGGGAGAGGGAGAGAGTGAGAGAGTGAGAGTATAACAGTATACATGATAATGCACTGCACAAACCTGCAGCCTGTCCTGGACCTAAGTGGGTTTTTTCTTGATCTGTTTTTTACCTTATCTACACTGAAGTTTATTGTTCTGACCCTGACCTAAAATTCATACAATGGGCATGTGCTTATTCTCAACTAAAATGTGACATAGGCTTCTGAATTAGGCTTACAGTCAGCCTACTGCCAAATCCTTAATTTAATTTAATTACTTATACACTCACTGAATTAGAAGTCCAGCCTGATGACCTACAGTGACAGGCAGTGACATGTTCCACTAGATCAGGTTGCTCAAAGCCCCATCCAACCTGGCCTCGGTCATTTCCAAGAACAGGACACCCACAATTTCTCTAGGCAGCCTGTTCCAGTGTCTTACCACATTAATCATAAAAAATTTCCTTCTTATATCCAATGTTTTCCAGTTTGAAGCTATTGCCCTGTGTCATGTCACTCACCCTGGTAAAAGGTTTTTCTCTATCTTTCTTTTAAACCTTTATATATTGAAACCCTACCCATCAAAACCGTGCATATAATGCATATGACTCTTGTCAATACTACTGGTAATCTGTTGCAGAATTGCAGGTCAATACACTTGTTCTTGTTAGGTGTGATGGCCTCTTTGCTTTGGTTATAGTAATTTACAATTTTATGGAAAAAGTGCACCACATAAATCCTTTCAAAATGAAGACCGAGCTTCTCTCCTGCCTTTCTAGCTTAGTGCATCTGTGTGAATGCACAGTGAAGTGGTAGTCACAAACTTCAGGAAGATCAGCAACATGATGTCTGTAGTGGTTGATACTAAAATAAACTATTTTCAGCTTTGAGCGCAGTCTGTTTTCTAGACTGTATCAGTAACTGGATCTGTGGGCTGAGTTGCTAAAATTCCTAGAAAATCTTTGTACAAATACTTTAATTTAAAACAGAATATGACAATGAGAGTATGATAAACATAGAACCAAAGGGAAAGAAGACAGTAATAAAAGTTAATTACAAAGGGCAAAGAAGAATGTAAAATGTTAAATCTTTGGGAACACAAATGTCCTATTGCACAGCTTCACTGCTTTGGATGATGATTAGGATGTTCTCTCTTCTCCCCACGCAGATGCAGTTAATTTCTTATAAAAATTACAAAAGGCACTTGAAAAAGTCAAGAAGGATTAATCTGAGAAGAGTTTGCATTATTGACCATTCAAAAAAATAGTGTCTTGAAAGTTTGCATTGGAATGTGTGCATTTCAATAAGAAATGAGAAAGTGAATGTGATTTGGAATAGTAGTGATCATTGCTTTTTTGATCATGTCTTTCACAATAGTGATGATACTTAGTAGTCTTATTTGTAGCAGAGAAGAAAGATATACCAACCAAAGTGAGGTAAACAGGCACCTCAAGTACTGTGCGCAGTTCTGGGGCCCTCAGTTTAGGAAGGATATTGAGCTTGTCCAAGGAAGGGCAATGAAGCTGGTGAAGGGTCTGGAGCACAAGTCCTATGAGGAGAGGCTGAGGGAGCTGTGGATGTTTAGCCTGGGGAAGGCTCAGGGGAGACCTCATCACTCTCTACAACTACCTGAAAGGAGGCTGTAGCCAGCTGGGTATCAGTCTCTTCTCCCAGGCAACCAGCAGTAGGACAAGAGGGCACGATCTTAAGCCAGGGAAGTTTTAGGTTAGACATTAGGAAGAAGTTCTTTGCAGAAAGAGTGATTGGGCATTGAAATGGGCTGCCCAGGGAGGTGGTGGAGTCACTGTCCTTGGAGGTGTTTAAGAAGAAACTGGATGTGGCACTTACTGCCATGGTCTAGTTGACAAGGTGGTGTTAGGTCAAAGGTTGGACTTGATAATCTCAGAGGTCTTTTCCTACCTAGTTGATTCTGTGATCCTGTGATTCTGTAATATCAATCAAAGTCTTAGAACAACTGTAGTAGATGGCAGTGTTTGAAATCCAAATACAAAAGTGAAAACGTGTGAGAAGGAAGAGCATATACTTCCTGAGCATAGCACCTTAATCTTACATTTCCTACCCTTATTAATTCATTGTACATTTTGCAAGTTGCATCAGCTCATTTCATGGGCAAAAGAAGATGAGAAAGCTATACATAATGTAAAAAAGCATATTCATTTTATAAAATTTTGTATTCTTTTCCAGCCAGTTCAGGACAAACTCAAATAAATGGTTTTCTTAGAATGCAAACTCAAATCACATAGAAACTTGTGGGAATTAAGAATGTAATGTTAAGAATGCACTAAGGGTGTGTGGGGATGGGGGAGATGGACTTAACAGAATGCCTACATGAATTAAGATCTTAGAGTAGAAGCTTTGTCTAGGGATTATGGGAGTAAAACTTACAGGAACATTAAACTGAAAGAACCACCTTAACCATGGTGTCCCCTGAAATCATGAAAAACTGTGTAGCAGATACCAAATTTAGGATATGCCTGTATTGCATGCCTAGTGTCTGTGGGGGCCTGCAAAGGCCTAGCAATTACTACTTCCCAGCACTCTATAAGAAACTTCCAATATGTGGTAGAAGGCCAAAAGCCAAGTGTTATGTCACAAGAAAGGAGAAGAGATCAAGAGCATCAGTGGTCTTGGTCCTCTGTGCAAACAAGATCATTATATCTCTAGATGATATTAAGAAGCAGACGTGTCCTCCAGTGTCAAAGAGGGTGAAATGTCCAACAGCAGCAGCTACTGAGGCTTGGAAAAATCTCGAACCCAGATCTGATATATCAGGAGGCTTAGATTCTTTCTTAGCTCTGAGATAGCTTGCTGTATGATCTTCTGGCAGATTATCTTCTCTCATGGGGCTCCGACTGACTCCTTGTAAAATGTACATAACTGAGCTTCTGGGAGTGTTAGGGATCCTACTTGATATAAAATAGTTGAAGTTTTCTTCAAATAAAAGGTACTCAATAAAGACAGGAAGAGTTATAACCAAAAAGGAGACCCTAATTAATAACAAGAACTCTGAGAAGTAAGCAGTTAACTTTACAAGTTCTTTACAGTATAAAGCATCATAAATTGGGAGACACAGGGGAAGGATGTATCATCAGGTTCAATAACTGTTTAGAGATAGGAAAAAAATTTTTAAAAGCATGGAAATGTCAAGTATATTCAACAAATGTCTATGCTGTTCAAGAGTTCATTACAACAAATGGAGATTAACCCAGAGTTTCAAAATTAAGACTGAGTGCAGCTGCAAGCCTAAATCAAAATACATTCTACTGTACATCAGGTAATTTGAGTAAGCACCTGTGAAAGTTTTTTTCTCTGTGAAAAGTATTTTTTTAGTACATATTATGATAAAAACAGTATCTCCTGATACTTGTTTTTACTACTCATGACTGCCTTCAATAAATTATGCTTTGGTCTCTGTTACTCACAACAACGTTCTGCAGCATTACTTGTCTTATTTGGTCTCATTGACTGTTGGTTTAGAATTGACAGATGTCACTGGCAAGTTCTAAAAAGCTGTATTGACCAACATGTGACATAGGCAGACCTGAACAAGGTTTTAGAGCAGCAGTTAGACATCTAGCCAAAACATGTAATGAAGACAGTTGTTGCCAGAATCCCAACAGAAAGGTGTTGAGGTTCAGTTGCTGCTCTGTTAAGCCTGTTTTCATTAATTAAGGATTTGCAGGGTTTTCTACTGCCATCTGCAGATTGTTGTGGGCAGCTGTTGTTACAATTTTTCTACAAAAGTCTGAATCTTCTCTTAAGGCTGCACCATACAAGGCTGAATGGAAGTGAGAAGTCTGCAGAAGGCAATTAAAGATATGAAGCCAAAGAGGCCTCTCTGCTGGCCATAGATCACAGTGACCATTCTTATATGATATGCTAGTATGGTTTTGCTTTGGCAGAGGTTCTGCTCTGGATAAGTCTCTTGTGATGAGAGAGGTAGCAGTCTCTGGTGTTCATTACTGCTTGTTTAATAGAAATACTCTATTCTGCTCGCTCTGGTTTGTATGAGTACACCCTGACATCATCCTTCAGGCAGAAGGCTCAGGTTAACTTCACTTCTACCTGAAACTAATTACAGTGGCTGAACAGTCACCTCAGTGGAGTATTGCTTGAGGCAGCGATGGCAGCAGATGGTAAGGAACTTCTGATAGTGGGGAAAAATTAAAGGCAGTGAGCTCTTATTTTTTGGTACACCTGGATAAATAAGAGGGTGTCCACCTGTGGCCTACTAACTTCTTAGTTTAGGTGAGGACAGTCTCTTCCTGAGAAAATAATGCACTGCAGAACCATCAGAATAAAGTGATTTTTCAGCCTTATGAAATGACAAAACCAACTGCCATACTTAGTTCTATGTCACTCTCACATTCAAGACATAGCTATGTGAAGGTGTTTTTAGATAACAAAGGATTATCTTCCCATGTGGCATGTGTTACATTTAGAGTGTGTCCAGGTTTAAGTCTGTGTAGACAAGTAGTATATTCTATTCTATTCTATTCTATTCTATTCTAGTCTAGTCTAGTCTAGTCTAATCTATTCCATTCCATTTTATTCCATTCCGTCAAAGCATAAAGCCTTTCAGAACAGTGTCTCTTCCTGAGACATAGAAAGAAAGGAGTCAAAGCTGCTGTTTCCTAGGCTGTTTCATGTCTTACACATTTTTTAATATCTGTGTCAGGACTAGGTTAGACCTTTCCAATAACTCAAATAGGTTTGATATAAGCCATGCCTAACCAACCATACCAAACTATGCCTGACCATACTCCCTCTTGTTCCCTGAACTGTCACATCTCCAACATTTTGTTAAGTTGGTATATAATAAAGGAAGACTGTAAAGTCAGTTCTCTGCTCTTTTAAAATGTCTTTGGATGTTCCCACCCAGATGAAAGCTTTATGG